TTTTTTAAAATGAAGAGTGGGATTTAATAAATGAAGTTCTAATCCATTGAGTCGATGTCCGATCAGACAAACTTTGACGTTCTCTCATTCAAAGGCAACTCTTTGGAGTGCAGCATGGAGATGGGAGACCACTCATGTGACTGCCTGTTCTTGATAATCGCATCATCGCGTGTTGCCTTAGACAACCACGTCATTGCATTGCTTGGGCGTTGCTGCTGAGTCACTTCTCTACGCACTAGAAGCATCCTGCTTGCAAGCCTGTTCTGAGACACCAGATTAGGAGTAGCCACGAATACGTGTTTTTACCCTCTACCGTGTCAGTATCGCATCGAAGCACTGTAGCTATTTTAAATAGGAATGTTATGAGTTAATAATTCATTTATTATCCGAGATTATTACTTTAGGTCGGGATCAGGACTCTTCATAATCCTTAGCAAAGAAGCATCGTTTGTACTTCAAATTCGGTCCTAGTGCCCCACTGAAGTCGTCATTCAAGTTGTTCCAAGTTAAAAGTTTTGTGTTGCCTATGATTTAATATTTTTAAACTCCAATAAATGCGCATGCCATCGCTTGGTAGCCCGTTCTGTAGGCAGTTCATCCCAGTTGTTTCCATCAATTTTCTAAACATTAGGTTATTGTTGTTATTCCACTTTTCAAAACGTGAAATCCTTGCCACTAAATATATTAGATGCACCAACTTTCGTTTCAGGTCTCACGAAAAGTTAGAACAAAATGATTTTGTCGTTTAGTGTTGGAATCTCGGTCGCTCCTGTTGTTTCATTTTGAAAGAATTTTTTTTTTGCATCAAGCTAAACCTACTGTTCGGACTAATTTATGTGAAGCATAAGTCAAAATGATTCAAAAAGTCGGATGTGGTGCTCGAGTAAAATTTGCATTTCAGGGCTACGAAAACCGCAACACTTACTTGGAGAAAGAGAATCGCAATTTGTTGCTCCAATTAAGAGCTCTTCTTTCCCAAAATAAGGATGTAGTGGCAGAGGATCTTGGAAACAGCGAGTGCCAGTACCGCGAGAAACTTGCTCTTCGGTAAGGGCAGTTGCGGTTTTATTTATTCTGACGTTCTATTACTGTATTGGAAATGCATCTACGGTGTTTTAAGAATTTTTTGAACATTTTTAAGACGCCTTCAGGTTGGATCAGATTCGAAGTGTTAGTTTCGTGTACTGAGCATATGGAAGTTAATTGATGAGTTTGCCTACTGTCAATCATCGAAAGTAGATAACGTTTATGTTCGACGTCCCCTTCAAACGGGTAATATCGATGGAAAACTTCCTTGGATCAAAAGCTATTATTGATGCATCTTGGTAACATCCTTTGAATTAGGAAAGTCCAAAATCTTTTGTTTGGTTACTCTGGTACAGGGAGTGGTTTGAGATTTGGTAAGACACTAAGCTCAGGGATGAACTTAAAGGATGTTATTGGTTCTTGACACAATTCCCTACTAATATCTTAAAATGGACTTGATTTCATGCAGTATAGGTAGTGTCAGTGTTTATTAGAGTGCTTTGTTCCTGCGAAACACTACTAGTCTTATTTCAATTGTCCCTCGATGTAAGGTTGAATTCGGCAATGTTGAGTGATTTGCAAGCTATCAAAGGTACAAGGTCGTTAAGTCAAGAAGGTCACATCCATGTACAACGGTGGTACACGCTGCATTGATTGTGTCAGGTCGCTAACGTAGATATTGAGCCTAATTTGGCTTGATTTAACTGCTGTGTTTTCAACTGTCTGGTTTCAGACACCCTGATGCCAAGATCATCAAAGTTATTGTCCAGAGACGATAACAGTTGCATTTCTTTTCAACAGTGTGGATTAGTGCATTTCTGGGTCTTTCCATTGTTTCCTATACTTGACTTCGTAGAACTCCTGAGCATGCAACTGTGATTTCATAGTGGACGCACTTAATAAGTCTTAATAACCTCATTCTGGGAATGGTTCTATGATCTGAGGCTGCTTTGCTCAATTCCTTTTAGTGACGAGTTGGCGTTAATGCAGCACAATCAAGAACAACTAGAGGAGAAACTCGTTGAACTGTACAAGACGCTTCCTTCACCCAAAAAGTACGGCAACTGCTTGTCTGCCATGGTAGTAAGCGTGTGAAGGTCGCACTGGCGTCCTGTGCTAGTTTAAGAGTTCTACAAATACATTGATGTCCAGATTTAAACTTTTAAACCAGCTCAAATTATTTGGCTTTACAGTAAAGTAGCCATGCTCGTCAATTTTGCTGGTTGGACTTCATTAAATCTGATAGCCAGTTGGGAAATATTGTCTAACAAAGAGAGCCTGGTGTGTTCAGCACAATGGTTTTGCAATAAACTACCGGAGGTGAGAGGCTGTCCCTTAGTCTTAGGTAGAGCTTTAGGTTTACCAAAATAATGTAGAGAGTGGTTTATTTTTAGAATGTAAAACCCTACTTGATTTGTCATTTTGATTCCTTCTTTGCTCAACTGGAATGATGTGAGCCTTTAATTTCAAAGCCTTCGAATGGGTAGAAAGTTGAAGGGCTCCTCGAGTTACGAGCCTGCGTTGCACGACGGTGTTGGCCCACTTTTATGCCGATCTACTTTCTTGGAAAGAGAATTTGAGTCTTTTTGGGGGTGGATGTGGGGCGAGTGAGGTGCGCGACTGGTGTCTCTACCTTCTGGCAAACACCAAATCCTTTGAAGGAATGTTAGTCAAGGCATAGGGGCTCACACTCTATAGACGTTGAAGCGCCCTGTCACATTCCTTCTAACCTTAATTCCTCTCGCTTATTGGAGTGGAGTCGCATCGTCAAATTGCGCATGGACTTAGTTGAGATTGCCAAATGGATTCACTCCTTTTTCAAGCGTTGAATGGTTGACCTCAAAAAGAATGCTTGCCTTAGCAATGACTCATAGTTGCAATCGCAAATGGATCTTAATTTTGCTTTCTCAATTACTGCGAAGCACAAGTAAGTTGCGAAATGATTCGAAAACGTTTTTAACTCAGTGATTGCATTCTTTGTCCTAAAACCGTCTTCATTTTCGCAGGGCTAAATCAGCTATAAGTTTCCTCCAGAAGGTGCGTGATGCCCTTTTGAAAGTATGTTTGTGTTTCTTACACGTTTTAATTCACTTCCACTTCTCTGATCTAGTATCTCATACTCTCGTATCAAACCGGTACAAAACACGTCTATTGCATAAAGACGTGACGCAATTATTATCTTATTTTTACTCTGCGTTCTTTCATTCACTGGTTTAGTACCCACACTTATTTGTACTTCATCTTTTAAGTTTCTTTCCTTATAATCTTAGACCAAGGACGTCTACACTTTGGATAATAGTCATCTCTCGTCTACCGATGGTTTTGAACAAGGTAAACTTTCTACCTGAACGCTTTTTGGTACGTAAGTACAGTCAATAAACCACCACATTCAAATGCTTGACTGTACGAAAAAGCTCACCTTTACCAGCAAATGAGGCTGTTCTGCCGCATATATTTATTCTAACCTTATTCGACTGGGCATATGGCGAGACAAAGGCAACAGGATCAGTTGTTGCCTACTCAGTGTGGACGTACGCACTATAAGAATAACAAATCTGAATATTTTTACCGAGTCAGAGATTGCTTGATCTTCCTTACTGAATTAAAATGTTCAGAAGGAAAACAACATAAAGAGGACTTGCGTTTTAAACTGTTTTATATATTTATGAATTCTTGCCCCTCCCCCTACCAACAATTTTTGATGGAAGTGAAAGCTAATGGCGTACTCCTTTAAGCCATGACCGATTGGGAGTTTTTTCGACTTCCTCATTCTAGGCATTGAACAAGTTTTACATCCTTCGAATCTGCGATGGGACGAAGTGAAGGATAATGATAATAATGGGCGCCTTCTGGATTTCCAGAGGTTCGTAGGCAATCTGGAAAGGCCACAGTCAGGTCCTCATCTTGTGAGCCATTTTGACAAGCTTACTAAATTGCTTAAGTAGAAACTATTCTATGGTCTCATTAAGTTTCTATGTCTAATGTTTTGACAATGCAGGATAACAGTCGAAAGACACAAACAGATCCCAAAAATTCGTGCGGAGGTTCTTCCTCCATTCCCATAAGGTGTTTTTCGGAATATCAGTCTCGGAACGTGCCAAATGGCTCTAATACAGACTCCGAGCATACAGGTGAGACCGAGAAGTTGCAGTTTATTGCCAACAAAATGCAAAACTCTCACTTCAATGTGGTAATTTTAGACAATTCGATGGCGTCGCTGGTTTTAAAATCTTCTCCACATTTTCCCGTCACCGATAGATCTGAAGACCGTAAGTTACTACGCCATTCAACATTTTTGCTTTGAGATAGCAGTAAAATATATGTGCTTACGCCAGTTGAATTGTCAACTCCAAAAGGTAAAGTGAATGCTGAGGGGTTTCTCAGCGTTGCATACGAACATTTAACACTAATTTTACAGCAAAAATAATGTCTTGTATTTTAGGTATAGAGGCACATTCAGTCAGTTCAATTGTGCCACCGAATAAAAAATCACTCATGCGCAAAACCAATTCTCTGTCATTCTTTCCCGCACAAAGTATGAAAACAATTGGCAACTACCTCCCGGATGGTAAAAATTCCAAAGAAGTACAGTAAGTTAGGCCACTTAAGCCAATTCAACTTAAGTAGCCGGGTGTGTAAAGTTCATCAAACAAAAGAAGGATTCTGCCTCTTGGCTGGCGTCCAAAGGTCTGGCATTTAAAGCTTTGGGCGTTTTTGAGCTGTCATTGCTACTGCTGAAGTGGTTTTTGATGCAATAATGGACAAGATAAAATGATTTCTTCAAGAATTTGAACTACGCGGCGTCACTGTAAGGCCTCGTTGAATGATGTTTTCGGTATGCTGACCGTTTTCGACACATCGAATCAATCGACGCTGGCGCAAGCCAACGCATCTGCACTGTCTGTTCCGTCAGGGAAGCCAATTGAGATACAATGTGGGTCAATCCATAACACTGCGTTACTTTTGTTGTTCAGTAAGCAGTGAAAAGGAATAGACATTAGGCATTGGTGTTGCCTGAGAAACACAAGAAGGACGAGGAACATAGACGGTGCGCTACTTTAAGAAAAGACCTTTGAACTCCCAAGTCCGCGATATTCTCTTGGGTGGTGAATTTACTGTAGCTCCTGTGGCACATTTTTGCTTAATCATATTTTACTGTTCATAGGTCAGTGTGCACACAGAGGCGTAGGGCGGCTTGCGTCAATGAGAACTCAACAGCCCTTCCTCTGGGTGGCTTAATTGGTCGAGGAAGAGTTTCAGTTGCCGATCCAGATTGCTTGAATCCCATCACCTTTTTTTCCCAACAGCACATTGGTACTGCGATCCAAAGTCGCCAGGAAGCATCCAAGACCACCCCGACTGACGGAAAGCCTCTCACAACACAGGTACTCACCATGGGAAGCTCCGACTGTCTAGCCAAATCAGTCGTTTTTTTGGAGTATGGTGATTTATGATTATTGTATTAGTGTAGATAACACAATTATTTCTGAGAGCTTTATGTACATTAGCCTCAAAGTTTATTGAGACTATACTTATGTATTGTGTCATTTCTATATTTCAATGAAAAACATTTACGAGCCACTGGAAGATTGGGAGGGCAGGAGGAGCGTCTACTTAAAGAAGTGGAAAGGTTGAGTTTCAAGTCGTTCCCAATTATTTCAATTTTTTTGCCACCACCGCTATAAGCTGTTTCATTCTGTCTTATTCAGCAAACGTGACGCATTTTGGTACTTTCGTGTCACAATACATCGTTTTGGGAAAAGGCATTTGATGGAAGTGAGAACTGCCAACTGTCTTCATTTGGGATTTTGGCTAGTGGCCTGGGGCCATTTGCATCGTGTGTTTGGCAGGCCGCGGTGCAGTCTTGCTTGTACGTAATCAGCACAAAACGCGATGTTCGGTTTCTATTTGCGACTAAGGGCGAACTGACACGCCTTGCATTTCAGTGGCGAACAACAGGATTCCGACTAGCATTAATGTATCAAGTCACAAATTGCATCTGGTGCATCTTAAAGTCCTCAGGGTTTGCAAGTGTACAAGAATATTTTTATTTCAAATTCTTAGAAGCTTTAAAAATTCCTCAAGTCCTACCTTTTCAGGGAGTGTATGGCCTAAGAAAC